TGGGTGGTAGCGCCCCCTGGTGAAAAGTGGGATTACCAGGGGGCAGGAAGAATCAAGGGGGGCGGGCGCTGGAGGCAGGGCTATTTTTCTGGGAAAAGAGGTGTTGGAACTCACCATGAATGCCTCCCTTGTTCTCTTAGAATGGCAACGGCACCCACCAGAGAGGTGCCGGAACTGAGTTCAGGTGAGTTCATGCTTAAAAACTGCTCTGGCTGGAAGTATAAATGACTCTCTGACATAGGAGCCTAATCCTAGGGGCCAAGGTCCCTCTCCCCGCCCCCATAAAGTATTTGAAGGGGCTGGGCCACCCAAAGTTGATGGGCATTGCCATTCAAATTGTGTTCATGTCTTTATCATGTGATCGATGATGCAAGGTGGGACTTACCTGCGCCCCTCCCAATATTTTATTCAAGTTGGCACTTCTGCTATCCAGCTTTGAAAAGCTGGTGTCGCCAGATGTAGGTCATCCATTTTGTGGAATTAATTAAGCTAAATAGTTTTTATTGGACGTTGAAGGGATGTGCAGTTAATCGTTGATTTATTGTGTTATCATTTTCCTTAGTGGGTCATGCAAACTGTTACTCTGAATGATGTTTTTTATAGGGTGGCACCGGGGATGAGTTTATGGGACCCAGTGGCCAGAAAAGGTTTGGCAACCGCAGCTCTAATACCTTTTGCTTTCTAGGATTCCTACTTCCCTCTGCTTTCAAAACTCTGCGATTTCCCTCTCGGAGGCCAGCAAAAACCACATATGGGCCGCAGACGCCAGCAACCACAGGCGTGCCCACGATTAGTCCCTGTGGACCAATGAAGCAGGATCAAATTTCGGGCACAGCAACCACCAAAAGCAGCAGCTGAAGCTTTTCGGTGCCTTTATATTGCAGCTGACTTGGGATGAAACTGTGGCCATGGTGGTGAAAGGGGTGTCCCTGCTAGCTGAAGCCTAGCAAGGCAGCGCAGAAGGCTGCAGGGCTACTGAGCTCCCCCTTTCGAAAAGTGCTAAGGAAGCTGCTTTTTGAGGGGGGGCTTTATAACTGCTCTGCAAAGCGACTGGCCAAAAGGACGCCGGAGCCTGCCAAGAAATGTGTTCCTGTTTCCCTGAAGGATAAGAAAACTCCAATAAATCACACTGTAAAGAGCAGGCTGACTTGGGGGCAAAGAGGCCTTTTCTCTCACCCTCTTTCACCATTGTGCACCGTCAGATTGCATTTATTCCAGTGTGTGTTTCACTGACTTTTGTTTCTCGAGTCAAAGAAGGCTTTAAAAAGCTGGGTTTTTAAAATAAAGTGTCTCAATGTGCTTGTTTTATTTTGCATTTATTGTTTTAGTTTTATCTATGAGCCAGCTGGAGTGCACTGCTTTGCAGAAAGGCAGGGCAGAGAAAATCTTGTAATAAATAAAATTAACACATTTGCGCACCACGCACGCTAAGAGTTCAGTGCTACACATGGCTACTGAGAAGTAAGACACATTTAGTTAAATGGAGCTTATTCCTGTGTGACTGCAACCTAAGCAGCCAGTGGTGATTTCTGAGATCTGTCTTGGCAAAAATAAAGCTTCATGTTTGTTAAAGAGCCAAGTCCACTTCCTTCAGACCCCTGAAACCAAAGTGGGTAATCAAGAACCAGTGTTCCTCTTGTGGATGGACTTGACTCAAAACCTTCTATAAGTCAGTGGTCTGGTTTGACAAAAACCTATGTTGTTAAATTGTGGTCTGTAAAACCATGGCTTAGAGCTATGTGCAAACATCACCCAGTGGCTTCAATGTGGTTTGTTTACTGCCAGCCAACTATGATCTGAAGCCATGGTTTGTTGCTGGCTTACAAACCTTGGTTTGTGTTAACCATGTCTTGGAGCTATGTCCAAATTGAACGTCCCTCTTTAACCGTGGTTTGTTTGGCTGCCCCATCAGACAAGCTTCAAAGGCATGAGACAAGAGCAGCTGGCAGACAAACCAAACACCTGTGGGACTACTTGCGGATAACTCACAGCTTCTTAAACAAACCATGGCATAAACAAACCACAGCTTAGCCTGTTTGTGAACCAGGTCACCAGCTGTCAGCCTGTTTCCCATATATGCAGAGGAAATTACTACGATGTACTTAACAAAGCCATATGAGGACAGGGAGAGCACAACTGCAAAGTATAAAATGTGCTACATAAATGGTAAATGACAGGGGTTATTTATTTGACGGGGGGACATTGTTAGGGGGTGTCTGCCAAAGGGTGTTTACACGCTGCCAAAGGCAAAGCAACAAACCAACCAGAAGTAACTGACAAAGGCCATTTAGGATTTGTCTCCCTGTCCCTGCCAAAGTCCATCTTTTAATTTTGCATCTCTTAATGCTGTGCTCTCCCCGGGAGATTACTTCCCCTTGCCTGACACCAGAAGCGGATTTACTGCAGCTCTATGGTGTTCTTAACAATAAGATCCAAGACCTGCAGGAAACAATTCAGCCCAGTGGATTACATACAAGCTGAGAAAACTTGGCCGGACTGTGCGGAAATGGGAAACGATTAAGCGGTGACCTGCCTGGCTTGTTTTTTGTGTGCCCACCTCATGAGATTTGGCACTTTAAGAAAAGTGCCTGCTAATTGCTCCAATAAGAATGAGAAGGCCACTCAAAAAAGGCCCAGACCTGCTTCCTTGCTAGGTATCATTCCCCCACCTAACTCCACATCGGGGAAACTGGCCTTTTTTTGGCTGCATGTATGCACTGCAGACTTGGCTAGACAGCCATTCCCTTTTACCTGTGGATTGGGAAACGTTGGCAGAGAATTCTCAGCACACACACACATTCCCCCGATTCTTTGCGGGAAGCAGATATAATGATATGAGGAATATAAGACTGCTGGGATAACATAATAGCAGCCTCCAAACATATGCTTTGACTCGCGGTCCCTACAAGATGATGAACAACTAGCAAAGGAGATGGGTGCACACAGGTGGTCTTCCATATCTTTGCTGGTTTAAGAACCGCAGGATTGCTTCCGAAGGAATGCACATCCCCATTCATCATTCTGGCTCAACTAGTCACACACAAATATATTTTACAAGTTACGGCAGCCTCTGTGGAAATCACAAGTGACTAATGTCATGGATGGAAATAAAGGGTGACCCTTGCGCCTGAGCTCTGGGTCTTCTGCACTGGCCAATAGATTTCTTGCTGCTTGACCATTAAAGGGGAAAAAACACCACTATTTGCATACAGGGTGGCTGGGCACTCTGCAAAACATATGGCTGGCGAGACCCCAGCTAATCACCATTTTTATTTGTCCAGAGGCAAATGTGTGTCAGGGGTGGGGAAGAAACTCAATTCATTTAAAGGCAAACCTACCTAACTTGTGATTTCCAAAAAAATAGGCAGACTCGGGAACCAAAATGTTCTTAACAGTGCAATCCTACACATGTCTACTCAGAAGCTCCACGGAGTTCAGAGAAATTGACTCCCAGGTAAGAGCTGAAAGGATTGCAGCTTTTGGCCATCTTTGCCTCTTGGAAATATTCATAGCCTTTATCAAAACTTCCTTTTCCTCCTCCTCCCCCTTTAATTTTTTTGTTTGTCTCAAAATTTGTCAGGTGTTTTTCGCTTCAGAAAGCTAAATTTGTACTTTGTTTGCCTATGTTTATTTTTAGTTTTCGTTCTGTTCGCTTGTTTTTCATTCTTTTGCTTTGCTTGGTCCCTGCACATTATTGAAGTGTATGTTCTTGTTTAAGTCAGTAAGTAAGTAAGTACCGGTAAGTAAGTAAGGAAGTAAAACCTGGAAGGGACAAATCTTCCTTGTTGTTTTGCTTTAGGCAAAATTCAGTGTGGCAAATGTTGGGTCCTGCTGATCCCATCAGCTTGTTTGGACAAAACGCTGACTCTATATAAGGCCTCTTCGTAGCCAGCGGAAAAGGTAATCAGCTCTGTCTGTTCTTTGCAGAAAAGATTTGTTGCAATTACTTTAACAAAAAAATATGTTACACTAGTGCGTCTGCGGGTCTGAAATGCAACCCACACCCCTGGAAAAGGGAATTCCATGTCAACACACTTCTCGTTTGCTGGAAGGTTTTAAACTACTCCTTGAGTTTTCAATCTCTCCCTCTCTTTTTATGAAGCAATGTGGCAAGGGACTTCTTTTTTTTTTTTAAGTCTCTTTACCTAAGTGTTCGGAGTTCATGCTGTTCCTTGCTGATGGGTTCCAGATGCAAGATAAATTCTAATGTGTTTCCCTCTCTGCCTATAAGCTATAGGATGGAGAAGCTGGTAGCAATGTATTAAGCATTTCTTTCAAGCGCAGGAGTGGAGTGGAACTAGCATGTTTGGTTCACTTTGGGTTCACTTTGCTCCTTTGTGGGAAACCACTTCTCAGCGGAATCAGTTGTTGCAGTGAACCCAACACAGCAGTTAAAGGCATCAGCTATGATCCAAAGCTGGACGGAATATAAATTTAATAAATGAATTAGGGTGTTGAACTAGGTCTAGGACCTGGGAGACTAGGGTTCAAATCCCCTCTGAGCTATGAAGCTCACTTCACAGCCTTGGGCTAGTCACTGTCTCTTGGCTTAACCTACTTCACAGGGGTGTTGTGAGGATAAAACAGAGACAGGGAAAATCATATTATGTCACCTTGAGCTCCTTGGAGGAAGAGTTAACGACAACGATCAAACCCAAAGCAGAAAAATGCAATAGACAAAAATTAGAAACAGAAAGCTCTATATAGAACCAAATGAAAACCATACACTTACTGTTGGGAGCAAACAAACAACTTAAAGCAGGAACCTGGTTTATCTATCTATCTGTCTTGTCTGTCAGTCAATCTACAATATGCCAAAGTAATATAGCATAATACTGGCCTACCTTGGAGGTTTGTTGTAAGGATTACGGAGATTATGGACGGGAATTGCTTTGAGCACATGTAAAAAATGTGATATAAATATTTGTTTAAAAATTTTATGTTGAGAAAGCTGTTTATTGAATTACACTGATTCTAAAGTAAATCCTCTAAAAAATTATCCACGTCTTCCAACAAACTCATTTCATCATGGATGAGGCTTGTTTTATTCTCATGGCAGTCCTGTGGGGTAGGTTTGGGTGAGAGATTGGCTCAGTCAAGACATCCTGCAAAAATGTGGTTTGAAGCAGCCATAACGTATACACTAACCATGGTTTAGAGTGGCTTCCATAGGCTCAACACACCAGTTTCTGGAGGCAAAATAATAGTAGTAGTAATAGTAATAGTAGTAGTAGTAGTAGTAATAAAGGTAAAGGGACCCCTGACCATTAGGTCCAGTCGTGGCTGACTCTGGGGTTGCGGCGCTCATCTCACTTTACTGGCCAAGGGAGCCGGCGTACAGCTTCCGGGTCATGTGGCCAGCATGGTGAACCAGAGCAGCTCACGGAAACGGTGTTTACCTTCCCGCCGGAGTGGTAGCTATTTATCTACTTGCACTTTGATGTGCTTTCAAACTGCTAGGTTGGCAAGAGCTGGGATCGAGCAGCGGGAGCTCATCCCGTCGCGGGGATTTGAACCGCTGACCTTCTGATCGGCAAGCCCTAGGCTCTGTGGTTTAACTCACAGATAGTAATACTCGCCTAATCATCATTATCATCATCATCATCATCATCATCACCCACCCTGATCTGAAATCTGAAGTGTTACAGTTCAGGATTCCACCACACAATTCAGTGCTATGCTAGAACAGCTTTTCAATATATTTGGGGATCTTCAATGAAGCTCTCCTCTGCCACGATCACAGAATATGATCAACCCTTCTATAAGGTCAATCCGCAAAAATCTTGCTGCAATCAGGGTTTCTTCCCCCACCCTGCCCCATTCCTATCCAGCACTGCCTTCCAACTGAAGCTTGTACCGTAGAAATCTCGTAAGGAGAAACAATTTCATACCCCCCTTAATATCACGACCCCTAATACTCTGGAGAAACGTTTCTCACTGATTTGAGTCAGAACAGCTGAATGGTACATAATTGCAGTTCATTCAATCAGTTAAAAAGAAAGAAAAAAGGATGCTAACTGGATTTGGAAGTGTAAAGCAAATCACAGGGAATGACCTCAGCAAGATAAACACCAGTCCATAGTAGGGATGGTCTGGCTTTAAGATCAATGTGTCGATGTACAGATTCCCTCTGCCGGTGACCAGTTTCAAACTAGTTTCAAACCAAACCCAAAACGCAATGTATATGCTTTTCAACTCTCTAAGCAGCAGAGAATTCCACTAGGACAAATCATAGCTCAGTCGGTAGAGCACGAGACTCTTAATCTCACGTTGGTGGGTTTGAGCCCCATATTGGGCAGAAAGATTCCTGCATTGTAGGGGGTTGGACTAGATGACCCCAGGGTCCCTTCCAATTCTACCATTCTGTGATTCCTTGTGAGAGTATAAACATCGCTGTAACCTGCCCAGGTACCTTGCGCTTGAAGGGCAGGTAAGAAATGAAATGAAACCAATAAATAAAATAACATAAAAGCCCTGCTGGATCAGACCACAGCCCATCTAGTCTGTGTTCACATGGCAGCTTATTCCGTTTTCAAGACTTTCCCCCAACTGTTAAGTCCTGCACAAAATTAGAGCTTCTGCACGATATAAAAGCTACTTTAGGAACTATAGTGGAATATGGTGCTCATTTCTGTGTTATTTGCTTCCGGGATAAACCCACTGGCAAATAATATGGAAATGAGTACTACTGCAATGTCCCACGATGGTTCTAGAAGTGGCTTTTACAGCATGTGAAAACTTAAATAGAATGTGGAAGTTAACACTTAGGTAATAAGCATAGCTGTCAACGTTTCCTTTTTTTAAAGGGAAATTCCCTTATTCCAAATAGGATTCCTCGCAAGAAAAGAGAAAAGTTGACAGCTATGGTAATAAGTCCAGCCTTCTGTTCTTACAGTGGCCAAGTAGATGCCCCAATGACACACACACACACACACATGGGCAATAGCAGCGCTTCCTGCACCCCTTGTGATTCTCAGCATCCTACCTCGCCAGTGGAGATAGAACACAGCTGTCAACCTCATAACTTCGTACTTTTCTGATGGGCAGATTCAGAGCTGCTTCTCCCCTTCCTCCTTCTACACACAGGTGCAATCGAACAGGTGCAATCAGCAGCCTTGCAGGTAAGTGTGATTTTAATTGTTATTTGCTGAGGTATTGATAGTTAATTTTATTGTGTACTATTATATTCAAATAGATTATTGAATATTACTGTATTGGCCCTAATATAAGCCGCACCCGCAAACAAATTGCACCTTTAAAATTTGGCGGCTTGGGGGAGCCGTGGATGGGATGGGCACCGTTGCCCCACGCTCCTGGGCTGATCTCTGTGGGGGGAAGCTGCATCGCTTTGCCGGCGGCGTAAGGACACGAATATAAGCCGCACTTTAACTTTTCACGATCGGAATTTGGAAAAAAAAGGTGCAGCTTATATTTGGGCCAATACGGTACTTTATTTGATATAAGTCGTTCCATTTTAAAGTTATGTTTTATTATGACTTTCTGTAGTGGATCAGATTATTAGTCATTTCATTTCTATACCGCCTTATATTTTAAAGAAAGAATCTCAAAGCGGTTTACAACACATCAAAACATCAAATGAAACAATCCAGAATGAAACATATTCAAACTTCAAGGAGAATATTTCAGATCCTTCTCCGAGGGGTCAAAGATTATAAGGTGTGTGTTCTTTGTTGTATATTTTGTTGCTGTAAACCACCTTGTGAATAGTAATATAGAAAGGTGGTATACTAATTAAAAGTAAAATGAAATAGCATCAAGTCTCCTGCCCTTCCTCGACCCTCCCAAGTACACTGGTACCTCGGGTTAAGTACTTAATTCGTTCCGGAGGTCCATACTTAACCTGAAACTGTTCTTAACCTGAAGCACCACTTTAGCTAATGGGGCCTCCTGCTGCTGCCGCACCGCTGGAGCACGATTTCTGTTCTCATCCTGAAGCAAAGTTCTTAACCCGAGGTACTATTTCTGGGTTAGCGGAGTCTGTAACCTGAAGTGTCTGTAACCCGAGGTACCATGTACATATTGTGGGGGGAAAGGAAGAGCAGAGGAGAGCCCCCCTTTTTTATTTGCTAGCTCAGCAAAAGTGCTTTCTCTTTCATCATAACACCCTTGGCATCAAGATCAGCCCTCTGAGCATTTTTGAGAGCGGTAGGAAGAGAGGTTGATGGGGACTAGAATATTTAGCATAGCTTTAATATTCCATAATGGGCCTCTGCCACCTGCACACAGAGTCAATCACATTCCTCTTTGCCTCTAACCCTAGGAGAAGCCGAGTGCTTCATTCTAGCCATTTATCATACAAAGCCCAGAGACGGAGGAAAAGACCTCAAAGGTCAGAAAATCCATCTTCCCATTGTCAGGGGAGAATTGGCCATATATTATCATATATCATTCCGCAGAAGGTCTGACCTGGCTCATGCAGACGTCAGGAGAAAGGCATGGCAGGATGTGTTTGACAAGAGTTTGGGCCACCCAAAGGATCCTGGGAATGTTTGCTGGATTTATTTACTTTTCCCATTTAAATCCGATATTCCTTTCCAAGGCACCAACAGAGGGGGATCACAAAGTTCTCCACCTCCCCATTTTATCCCAACAACCCTAGGTTAGGCTGAGATACTGTGATTGGCCCAAGGTCACCCTGTAAGCTTCGTATCTGAGCAGGGATTCAAACTAGTCCCCCAGGTACTAGTCCAACACTCTAACCACTACACCGCACTGCCTTCTCCCACTCTGGCTCAGGTCCTGTTCTTGTAGCATCAACCAAACCACCCATTAGGACAGGGGTCACCTATGTGGCCCTTATGGGTGCAACGGTGCCCTTGAGGTCTGCCCCTGGTGTACATAGAATCACAGAATTGTAGAGTTGCAAGGGACCCTGAGGACCATCTAGTCCAGGCACCCCCAAACTTGGCCCTCCAGATGTTTTCTGACTACAATTCCGATCATCCCCAACCACTGGTCCTGTTAGCTAGGGATGATGGGAGTTGTAGTCCAAAAACAGCTGGAGACCTAAGTTTGGGAAACACGGCTTTAGGATTTAAGGCAGGCATAGGCAAACTCAGCCCTCCATCATCCCTAGCTAACAGGACCAGTGGTCAGGGATGATGGGAGTTGTAGTCCCAAAACATCTGGAGGGCCAATTTGGGGATGCCTCATCTAGTCCAGCCCTCCACAGTGCAGGAATATTTAGCTGTCCCTTACAGGGATCAAACCAGCAACCTTGGTGTTATCAGTATCTCCCTGCCAGCCACTGCCCCTTTTGAGGGTGGTTACCTTCTTCCTGAAAATTAACATTAGAGAATGGAAGTAGGAACTTGGAAGAATGATGCTCATTCCCACTTGCCTCTTTCACTTCCATGTGCTTTTCAGTGCTCTCCAGATCCCTTGGGAAAGCAGCGTGTGATTCGGTGGTGGAGGAGACATCAAGAAGGGTGTGTGTGTGCCCATGGCACTGGCTCAAAAATCCAAATGTGCCCAGCAGTCTAAAAAAGTGGGCAGCCCTTGCATTAGGACATCAGAGAAATCTTTACAAAGTGTATTGTGATGACAAATGAGACTAACAGTCCCCTGTTGCCTGCCTCTTGTATACGGGACACCCCATTGGCTGAGCAGTTGTGACATCATGGAATGTTCCCTCAAGATTCTAAGCACATGGGGGAAAGGAACCAGTTATGGAATGCTGACAATTTAGGAGCCTGGTGAATGGTCCAAGGGAACTTGACGCTGCAGCACCGGTGAAACTGAAAAGATGGAGAAAGGAAGATGGGAGAAGCAGTGATCAGATATGTGTGAACCACCTCTAAAGGAAATGGAAACACTAAGCACACAATAGCGGAAGGTCGTTTTATACCAGGGTGGCTAACCTATGGTTAGCTAGATGTGCCTGGACTCCAAATCCCATTAGCCCCAGCTTGCACGGCCAATGGTCAGGTATGATGGGAGCTATAGTCACAGGTTAGCCACCCCTGAGGTCTATCTGTAGTCAGATCACCACCTTTCCCATGAGTGCTCCTCCTCACTGCTTAAGATGGCCAGTGTGGTGTAGTGGTTAGAGTGTCAGACTAGGTGTTGGGAGAACAGGGTTCAAATCCCCACTGGGCTGTGAAGCTGGCCAGGTGTTCTTGGGCCAGTCTCTCTGCCTAAATTATCTCAAAGGGATGAAATGAATAGGTGGATCTGTACACGCATTACTATGAGTTCCTTACTAAAAAGATGGGATATAAATGCAGTAAGTAAGTAAATACAGTTATTGAATAAATAAGCATAACGCTAGAACAAAACGGATGCATTTTCCAGCTCCAGCATATTTAGTATGCTGAGCTTACCCGCTTTCGTTTTAGGGAAAAGGTAAAAGGCGGATCTAGACGGATCCTCGTGAATTCATATGATTTTTTCATTCAAATTAAATAAAACCACCATGATACTGTAGACCATGTCTTACTCTGTAGACAGCATCAAAAAAATCATGCATCCACTATTTCGTGGGGCCGCAGGGGCGCAAAAACATGGTTAAAAAACACGGATCCTCATGGATCCTCATGATTTTTGCAGAAGACCAGCCCAAAGTCACCATCAGATCAAACATCATGGCCAGGGGCACAGCCTGCACCACAAAAATCACGGATCCATGGCTTCCTGGCAATACCGTGGCCCAAAAACGTGGTTTTGAAGCACGGATCCTCATGGATCCTCACGATTTTTTCATTGGGCCAACCCAAACTCACTGTCAAATCACATACCATAGCCAGGGGCACAGCCTACACCACAAAAAACTCGGATCCACACCTGCCTGGCCATACCGTGGCCCAAAAACGTGGTTCCGAAGCATGGATCCTCATGAGGATTCATGAGGATCCGTGTTTTTTAACCATGTTTTTGCGGCATTGCAGCACCACGAAACAGTGGATGTGTGATTTTTTTGGTTCTGCCTACAGACTAAGATGTGGTCTACAGTATCATGGTGTTTTTCTTTTGTTTCAATATAAAAAGCATATGAATTCATGAGGATCCGTGCCTCAGATCCATGTTTTTGTGGTGCTGCAGCGCGGCAAAGTGTTGGATCCACGTTTTTTATAGTCCAGTTTGTAGGCGTGCCTTCCAGGTGTGATTTGACACTGCATTTGTTGGAGTTATTTTTAAAAAAGTAGAGGATCCATGAGGATCCGTATAGATCCGCCTTTTACCCAGACCCTTCGTTTTACAACATAAGAAAGTAAAGGGAAAAGAGCCGGCTGGATCAGGCCGCTGGCCGATCTAGTGCCTTCATTTATACCCCTGCGTAGCTTCAGAAAAGCGCTTGTCACATGAGACCATGGGCTCTTCTGTAAAGCTCTAAAGGTGCTTTGCAACACACACGTGCACGCACAAAAACATACACACCGCAGGGAACCCGGAGGAAGCTTTCCAAGGCTTCACGTTCTTCTTTTTGCGCTTGCAAAGAAAACATTTCTGCGCGGGGCGCAACAAATAAAGGCGACGTTATTGACTTTTTTTTTTAAATTCGCGAAAGCCCTTTCGCTTTTAAGGTTCTGCTGCTGTACTTCTGGGAGGTCAAAGCCAGGAGCAGGCAAAGAAGATTACGGAGAAAAGCGTGCGTGCGTGTGTGCGTTTTGTGGGGGTGGGGGATGACACGTGACTTGCACCCGCACACCGTGGCCGGCTGGTTCAAGCCAGAGGCTGCGAATGCAAATACAAACACAAACAACAACAACACCCAAGCGAATAATTTCGCTACGCGCGCGCTCGCTCGCTGTTCTGCCCCGCACCGCGCAAAAAGCAAGGAAGGGTTGCAATGCCCCGGGAAGCAGCGCGTGCAGCCCCGGGTCCTTGGCGCGCGCCGGAGCCGAGCTGCCTGCAGCTGGCCTGAATCTGCTCGCTGCTGTTGCTCCCTCGCCGCCACCCCCCCTCCCCGCCGCCACCGGGTTTCCCGGCTTTGCAATCCTATTGCACATTCTGTCCTGGCGGCGGCGCCCCACTTTGCAGCTCGCCAAGCCGGCGGAGCGCGGAGGCAGCGAACATGGCGACAGGGAGAAGCCGCGCCGGGGAGCCGCGCTCTCCGCTCCGGGAAACAGCCGCCCGGTTGGCGATGCCGCCGCCGCGTCTCGCCCTCCTCCTCCTCCTGCTCTCCGCCTGCAGCCTCCGGCCGGCCGAGTCCGCCAGCAAGACCTTGCGGCTGCACGCCGCTTTCACATCCCGAGCCCAAGACCGGGGCTTCGAGGTGCTGCGGGCGAGCAGTCCCAATGGCACAGTCAGGCAGCCGACGCCGGGCGAGATGCTGCGGAGCAAGCGGAGCGCCGCCGCCGCCACCCAGCAGCAGGAGTCCATGAAGGTGTACGGACAGGTGAGCGGGCACCTTTGGGGCCACCTTCTGGCATCTCTCCATCAAGGCTCCCCCCCGATTTGGCAAGCCAGCCAGCCAGCATCGCGCGGAATTTGGAGCGGGGAGGGGGCGCGCGCTCTGCTTCCAGGTCCTTGCGTTTTCTTTGCAACATCCTCCACTCCACCCCCTCTTTGCAAAAGGAGCTTTTGTTATGCCCCCCCCTCCTCTTTGCGCGGCGCTGTCTGGTTGGAATGCACGCAGTTCTCAGTCCAATGTTCCTTCGTTCCCCGCCGCCTTTGAGCCACGCGCGGTTTTAAATTGGGTAGTGGGCGCCCTTCAGTTCGCCCTGCCTCTTCCTCTCCTCACCATCATACTCCGCATCCCCCTCCCCAAATGGATCAGGGGCTCTGGGCTTCCTGGCTCTTAAACGATCTCTCTTTTTGCTTTTTTTGTGGCAGGGGGAGGTTTGCGACTCAGGTGACTCGCAGGTCCAGTTGCAAGGGTGGTTGGTGGTTGTTGTTGTATCACACGCGTAACTGGTGGGAATCGAACTGTAAATATTTCTTCTTTGGAATCGTTCCGTGTGAGATGCAAACAATGCAGTGCGGGGAACGGAGCGCTGCAGCAGCTTCTCAGCCGCTGCTCGGGCAGGAGGCCAGTTTTGGGCAACCTTGGACCACACTGTCATTTTTATTTTTTATTTTTTTTGCTCATCTTGCAGCCTTCTCCCTCCCAAAAGTTTAAAAGCCTCAGACTGGGATTCGGGTTGCCACTGTTGCTTTTTGCTCTGGAAAAAATGGCAAGGAATTGGTGCAACTCAGGTTAGCTTTGCAAATTAGTTAACTAGTCCAACATTGTGACACAGCCCTTTTTGTTTGTTTATGGTGGATGGAAGGAATGAAAGAAAGATATCCAACTTTTGCAAGACCTCCTTTCATGGTCACCTGATGGCAGTTCTGCATCGCCATAGGCGAGTAGCTGTGTACAGTGCCTTTCACCTTTTTGTCACAGGTTACTCTTTCTGAGATCCATCCAAACCAGAGGTTTAATTCTCATCTTAAGTTCTGGTGCAGCTTAATTGGCACGTCCGCCCTGGGAACAAGAGAAAGCCACCTGTGATTTAACTTAAGACAGTTGTCTCAGGAGTGGGTCTGACACACCTTGCTGTTGCTTATGCATGTGAGCAGGGGGGAAGTTACTTCAGGAGAAAAAAGCCCTGGGGTAGCAATTTCTGGATTTTGATTGTGCAAACATCTTATTGTTTTGCCTGTTTGCAAACCTGGGATGGCAGCCGGCATCTCATACTGAGACCTTTCAGAGAAAACAAGTCTTTTTTTGCTTTTGCTTTTCCCTTTCTCCTCTTCCCTCCAAATCCCTTTTCCTTTTGTGTTGTGTTTTTGGTTGTAAGCCCTGAGGGTGGGGACCGTTTTATCACTGACATTGGTAAGCTGTTCTGGGAACCTCCCTTCCCCAGCCGAAGAACAGGATAAAAGAGTTTAAATAAAAAACAAACAAACCAGACCCTCTTTGAATGATTTACCACAGGGGAAGGTGTGTAAGAGAATAACACCACATTCCTCTGAACATGAAATCTCTCAAATGCATCAAGTTGCATACCTCATAATAAACAGGTGCAGGTTGCGTGTTTGATCACTTTAGTGATAGGTTTCTGGGTACCAAATACAGTGGTACCTCAGGTTACAGACGCTTCAGGTTACAGACGCTTCGGGTTACAGACTCCGCTAACCCAGAAATAGTACATCGGGTTAAGAACTTTGCTTCAGGATGAGAACAGAAATCGTGTGACGGCGGCGCAGCGGCGGCAGCGGGAGGCCCCATTAGCTAAAGTGGTGCTTCAGGTTAAGAACAGTTTCAGGTTAAGAACGGACCTCCGGAACGAATTTAAGTTCTTAACCCGAGGTACCACTGTAGTCTTCAGCTATTGTTGGACTACAACTCCCATCAACCCTAACTAGCAGGACCAGTTGTCTGGGATGATGTGAATTATAGTCCAAAAACAGCTGGAGACCCAGGTTTGGGAAACACTGATAGAGATTTTTCATCTGGCCTCCATCGTAACCTCTGATCCCATGGTACAACCCCCCACCCCTGCTCCAAAACATGCACAAAAGAACATAGGAAGCCACCTTATTTCATGTCTAACTGTGGATCCACCTAGCTCAGCACTGACAGGCAGCAGCTGTTCAGGGTTTGCAGCTTGAGAACATAACTGGAGATGGCATGGATTGAACCTGGAACCTTTTGCATGCAAGGCAGGTGTTCTAGCACTGAGCTAGGGCCCTTTCCACATGGGAAGCTGCCTAACACCATGTCAGACGGTTGGTCCATCTAGCCCATTATTGTCTACACAGATTGGCAGCAGCTCTCTGGGACTTCAGACAGGCCTTCCTCCCAGTCCTGATCCTGGGACCTTCTGCAAGCAGAACAGATGATCTGCCTCTGACCCATCCCCTAAAAACACATGGTTCTATGCCTTGGATACCTCCACCCAAGCTGAGATGCAGCCAAGGGACTCCTTAACCTCCTCTTCTGCATCGTTAACACAGCATGGGATTCCTGCCTTGCAGGGGGTTGGACTAGATGACCCTCGGGACCCTTCCAACGCTACAATTCTATGATATTCTCTCTCTCTCTCTGTCTGTCTGTCTGTCTCACGAACAAGACACAAGGAAATGGTACTGAGCAGCTGAGTTCCGAAGGCCTGTCTTGCTGTTCTGGGGAATGAGCTTAAAAAGCCTATATTTTCATTATGACATTTGGATCTCCCTTTCCTCCAAAGTGGTGTGCAGACCTCTTCACCCCCTGCCTCCATTTTACTCACACAACAACCCTGCATGGTAGGTCAGGCTGAAAGACAGTGAGCAGCAGCTTCCAAGGTCACCCAGCGAGTTTCGCAGCTGAGTGGGATTTTGATCCCTGATCTCTCAAGTCTGTGCCTGATTCACTATACCTCAATTGTGGATCCGTGGTTTGCTGGCTGGTGCCTCACCCTATTCTGTATGAACTGTTAAAAACAGCCAGGGCAGAGCATGGGTGGGGAGCTTCCGGTCCCTGGGCCCCAATATGGCCCTCCCAACCTCTCCATCTGGCCCCCTGGACTCTCCACATCTGTCCACAGCCACAGCCATCTGTCGCCTTGCTTTGTGCCTTCCTTGAGGCTTCTTGCCTGGCTGGACTTTGCCCTTGAATTCTGATCATGCCTCTTGCTTGCCTGCTGGAAGGACAGAGGGGAATGTGTGTGTGTGTGTAGAAACTACCCCACTGTAAAAGGTAAAATTTACAATTTTTTGCTTTGTCCACTTTTGGTTCCGGCCCCACCCACCACCACTGGGATGTGGCCACTGGAAGATTGTTGAGAAGGGAAGGTGGCCCTCCATCAGAAAAAAATTGTTCTCTCCGGCCCTGTATTGGAGGAACGTGTAGTCCCCCCCCCCCAGTGAATTAGAGGACTTGTGTTTTGTTTTGGGAGGAAGGGTGCTGGACTTGTACGAAGTGTTAGAAAGGAGAAGAGTTAGAACATCCTTGTGGAAAGACTGTTCTTATCCGTGCTGAAATCAAAGAGTTACTTGCATTTCTAACAGGCTGCCGGATCCGTTTTCAGAAATGGCAACCACTATTTTTAGGCGATACAGAAAAGGAGCATTCAGAACACAGTTATGCTTCCTTAAAGGCGTTCCCAGACTTTATCCAAATTGTGCTTATTTGGCTCTTCCCATAAAAAAAAAAATGGCCTTTTGTTGATGGCGTGCGTCCACATGTTGGACTGGTTTGCATTTATACTCCTTCTTTCCACCTAGTTTCACAGATCTTTTATATATATATATAAAAACAGAAACTGGAAGCAGAAGTGACCCCCACTGTGAACTATAGAGTAGACCGTAAAGAGGTTTATTGATCCAACACATTTCAACTCCTGCTGGACTTCCTTCAGAGAAATTCTGAAAACTGATTCAAAATATATGCGCTACCTCTCATTTCTTATGCTACCTTATTTCATTTGCCTATGGCAATCGAATGGTTTTCAATTTTTGCTTCTGCTTTCACTTCCTTTTGGGGGTTCCTGTTTTTGTTGCATACTTTATTTTTAAAATAGTCCTGTAAAGAATAGTGAAATGTAGCCAGATTGAAAGGACAGCAACAACTCACTTCCAATAGCAGAGGGGATAGCGGTTCAGAAGGTATTCAGGCCAAAGATGCTCTGCAACAGAGAAGTTTTCACTTGTCATTTTAAATGCCGCTGAGTGAAATCTCCTGGGGCAGGGAGTTCCACAGGGGCACTTCAGTGGAAAAGGCCCTCTCCCATATTCCCATCTACTGTGACACAGATGATGGTGGAATATAAAACAGACCCCAGCCTGATTTTAAATCATTACGTGTATGGTTTTCTGATTTTAAAACATTATATGGTTTTTAAAAAAATTGTGTGGTTTTATAGATGATTATTCTAAAGCTCTCCGATTTTTCTTCTTCTGCGTAAACCAAGGTTTGCAAGCCAACAGCAACAAACTATGGATTTAAGCTGTGCTTTGTTGCCAATAAACAAACCACAGTTAAGCTTTCCCATGGGCTCTTGAATTGTAAGCCATCACAGTATACCGAACTGTGGTTTATTAAACAATGGCTTAGCATTATGTGTGAACCTTTCCCAGTGGCTTAACTGTGGTTTGTTTATTGGCAACAAAGCGTAGCTTAAATCCATAGTTTGTTGCTGTTGGCTTGCAAACCTTGGCTTGCCTTAACTATGGCTTGGCATTCTGTGTGAATCTAGCCCACTTCCTTAACCATGGTGTATTTGACCACCCACCCCAGACCCTCATCAGGCTACAAAGACAAGGTCAGTTAGGGGTGACAGTCAGTGGGGGAGCAGGCGTGAGCCCCCTCCATCAATTGTCCAAGACTGGCACTCTTGGAGCATTCTTTCCCCCTGCAAGATCAGCATTGTCCAAGAGCCTTGGGGATCCAGCTTGCTAGAGGCTTCACAACCCCACCTACCATTTTTGCAGTCCTAGGTAGGCAGCAAAATCAAGAAGTAGGGTGGCTGGATAACTAGGAACATGGGAAAAAGCTGCCTTAGACCATCTAGCACACCATGAATTTGCCTCCATCTCCTCCAGATGTACGGGACGCGGGTGGCGCTGTGGGTTAAACCACAGAGCCTAGGACTTGCCGATCAGAAGGTCGGCGGTTCGAATCCCCATGATGGGGTGAGCTCCCGTTGCTCTGTCCCAGCTCCTGCCAACCTAGCAGTTCGAAAGCACGTCAAAGTGCAAGTAGATAAATAGGTACTGCTCCAGCGGGAAAGTAAACAGTGTTTCTGTGCACTGCTCTGGTTCGCCAGAAGCGGCTTAGTCATGCTGGCCACATGTCCCGGAAGCTGTACGCCGGCTCCCTTGGCCAATAAAGCGAGATGAGCGCCGCAACCCCAGAGTCGGTCACGACTGGACCTAATGGACAGGGGTCCCTTTACCTTTTACCTCCAGGTGTTGCTGGACTGCAACTCCCATCAGCTCCAGCAAGCACGGCTGATGCATAGGGATGATGGGAGTTGTAGTTCAGAAACGTTGGGAGAGCCAAAGATTCCTTGTGCCTGGTCTGCACTGCCAAGCCATGACTCTCCAAGGTTTCAGAGGGCACATTCCCAGTCCTAGCTGGAGATGCTGGGGATTGAATCTGGGACCTTCTGCAGGCAAAGCAGATCCTTTTCCACTGAGCTGTGGCCCCTCCCCAAATAGATCCACTGGATCCACTGAGGTAGATCCACCTACTTCAGTACTGCCTTCACTGACTGGCAGCACTTGTCCAGGATTTTGGACATGGTTCTCCTATAGAGACAATGAGGATCGAACCAGGAAGCAAATGTTCCACTGCTGAGCCACAACCCTTCCCATAGCCTCCTGTATTTAGAACGGTGGATCGCCAGACCCCTGCCTGTGCCCTCTTTATTTCTTTGTTCTCCGCTCAGACCTACACACCCCGTTCTGCTAGCAGAAATTGAAAGCTTATCTGTCCGAGGATTTACTTTCAGGCAGATAACTTCCCACAGTTATTACGTGTCACATGGCTTTTATTTACCTCCCACCCCACAAATAAAAGCAGACACAATGGCAGCCTTTTAAAACCCAAAGAAAAACAAAAGCTCATTACAGTCCCCTGCATTACGATTTCTCCTTATATCGACATTGATGGGTATTTTTTTTTTAAAAAACCCAGTTATTCCCAGAAGTGTTCTGGTTATCTAAATTTCATGGCCAGGCTGAATATGTCATTGTAACCTTGTGTCAACAATGTGTTGTGTTGCATCAGCTGTCTGGATATCCAAGTGTTTTTCTCCGTGCCCCTGGGGCTGTTTGGATGAAGGGAGTTTGCATGGAAATGCTAATAGCTTTCCAAGATCAAACAGGATTCTTGCTTATTCTCCCTCATCACGTTTATGTTTTCGGGCCCACCTGCACTATTCATTTAAAGCAGCATTGTAGCACTTTAAACTGTCTTGGTTTTCTGAAAAGGACCTTGAGAGCTGTCGTTTGTTATGGGTGCCGAGCGGTTGTTTGTTTAGTCGTTTAGTCGTGTCCGACTCTTCGTGACCCCATGGACCAGAGCACGCCAGGCACTCCTGTCTTCCTCTGCCTCCCGCAGCTTGGTCAAACTCATGCTGGTAGCTTCGAGAACACTATCCAACCATCTCGTCCTCTGTCATCCCCTTCTCCTTGTGCCCTCCATCTTTCCCAACATCAGGGTCTTTTCCAGGGAGTCTTCTCTTCTCATGAGGTGGCCAAAGGATTGGAGCCTCAGCTTCAGGATCTGTCCTTCCAGTGAGCACTCAGGGCTGATTTCCTTCAGAATGGATAGGTTTGATCTTCTTGCAGTCCATGGGACTCTCAAGAGTCTCCTCCAGCACCATAATTCAAAAGCATCAACTCTTCGGCGATCAGCCTTCATTATGGTCCAGCTCTCGCTTCCATACATCCCTACTGGGAAAACCATGGTTTTAACTATACGGACCTTTGTTGGCAAGGTGTTGTTTCTGTTTTTAAAGATGCTGTCTAGGTTTGTCATTGCTTTTCTACCAAGAAGCAGGCGTCTTTTAATTTTGTGGCTGCTGTCATCATCTGCAGTGATCATGGAGCCCAAGAAAGTAAAATCTCTCACTGCCTCCATTTCTTCCCCTTCTATTTGCCAGGAGGTGATGGGACCAGTGGCCATGATCTTCGTTTTTTTGAGCGGTTGTTAGGAGGCCTTTATTCCCCTTGTAGATCTACAGTTCCCAGAGTTCCCTAGTAA